GCAAGGTTTGGTGGAGCCTTGAGCAACTTGGTCTAGTGGAAGGTGTCGCTGCCATGGCCGGGGGTTGGAACTACGTGATCTTTGAGGTCCCTTCCAACCCAAACCATTCTATGATTCTATGATTAATAGATAACAATAAATGTCAACTATAAATAAATAAATAACACAATAAACATTAACTAAATAAATAAATAATACATAATACATAAAGTAGAATCATACTTTTTTTAACAGTGAGTGTTGTGAACATTCTGAACATATTAGTTTTACACTGCGCTCTTCCACAGCTGTCTGTTCGTGCCCAGCTTGGTGCTGCATCACAGAAATTGTTGAAGAAAGGAAAAAGTATTCCCGATGAATTATTAATTGACATCCTATTGGAAGCCATTAGGTATGAAAGTGTATAGCTTTTTTCCTCAGTTATTTAAAATTTAGTTATCCGGTTTGTAATCCAGATTCAGCCATTTCTTTTTATTAAGGTATTTTTTGCATGCTGGAGTCTTCTACTTGGGAAGTGGAGCTAATTAGTGTAGTTAATGCTCATTTTATGCTAGCAGTAGAATGCTAGCAGTAGAGTCTAGCCCCTAAATTATGCAGATATTATACACTACTGAAGGTGAGCAAAAATACACACGACTATCATGTAGTCATTGAGTATAACTAATGTCTCTCTTTTGTTTATTATGAATATGGAAGCTATTCAGCATGTGCTAGGATTTTTAGGGTTTTTTTAGTTTTTGTGAAATGTGTAATCCAAGCATTCATGTTTCAGTAGTTAGGTTACTTATTTTTGTCTACTCTTATTTGACAGAAAATTTTCTCGACTACCCTGATATGCAATTAGCACTTAAGTTCCCACATAGATATCATTTAAGTTATATTACACCTATTAGTGTATTTTAAAGTCATAAAATGTATTTTGCTGTTTGTTACTTCAGGGCAGAAGTTAGTAGAGAAAATATTGAAATTACACCTCTGATCTATAGTCTATATAGAGAATATTTTTGAACACTTTATTTATCAAGACAGCAAAAATTGTTTTGTTTCTGCTTTTTTTCACTTTTAGTTAGGCTTGATGTTATTTTTCTGATTTAAAATCCATTGCTTTACGGTTTAAGTTTTAATTATGTCTGTTGTATTCTGTATTCATCAGGATATTTAATAGAGTAAATTCAGAATGAAAGACTGCTAGGGCAAGCTCTTCTTTAGGTTTTATTATTATGTTATCAATTCACTGTATAATTGTGGTTCTTCATTTACTTTTAGGCAAACACCACCAGAGAAGGGATGGATTGTGGATGGGTTTCCAATGACAATTAATCAGGCAAAGCTATTTGAAAAAGCCTATACAGGGATTGATCCTGAACAAAAAGATGCAAATTCTGGAAAGCTCTCACTTGTTACAGATCCCAGAGCCCCTAAAAAGCCTCCTGTTACCTCACCTGCATTTGATGTTTCTGTATTATTGGATATTTCAGACATCGTGGTACTGAAACGTGTGGCTAACTTCAAGTGTAAGTTTACAACTACTTTCAACAAAGTAAAACGACAAGCAGATTCTGATGTATGTGGAATGTAAAGATTGTTATAATAACAAAGTGACTAAATTGTGAGTACTTTGCTACATAATACCAAGTTGCATATTTAATTAGAAATAATAAATTATATAATATATCTATTTTCCTTTCACAATTATGGTATTAGAAATAGTCTAGATTTCTTGACAACTTTCTTCTCCGTTTGTAAGCCCCTTTTAACTTTAAAAGTTAAAAGCCATCTAAAAGTACACGACTAGGTATAAGCAATACATTAATCCTGAACATTATTTACCAAATATACCTGTAAATTGTACTTACTTGAGCAAAATAACGTTACTGCACAGTTTCTCTGCATCTCACAGTATCGCTTTCATTAATTGTGCATTATCACCTTGAATGTTTCTGGATTATTTCAAATACTGGAGCTGAGATAGCAGTGGCTTGTGTTAGTTATCACATAGAACAGCAGCTGGAAAAAACCCAAGTTACAACAGATGCAGAAGTATGCCTCTACAAATGAGTATGTGTAAACAGTATTTTTCTTCAGGAGACACATTTTGAAAGGGATGACAGAAAAGATAAACAAAGTGATGTGCCAACCTTCATTCCCTGGGAGTGCCAACGTTCATTCCCTATTGATTTCTGCCTTTGTCTTGCCTTCAGTTAGTCAGTGAACAATCAGAAATTGTCAATTTTGGCCAATAAAGGCAAAGGCATCAAAGGCTTTTTGAGGGCTGTTTTACTTGCAGACCACACATTATTAATTGCCTTTACTCACCTTGGCGAAACATAGGTTCTTTTCATGAATATGTCCCATATTGTCCAAATTATAAGGAGATTCCTCTTCATTGTTTTCGCTGCAGCACTTACATGGTACATGGCTTGAATTAAAGCAACATTTACCTTTAGCTTTTATGCATAGGTAGGAGTGAAGATGAGTCAAAATCATTAGAGCTTCTGCTAACAGTGCAGTGGAGATGTAAGTGTATAGACATTCAAAATTCTTGTTCAAGACCTTGTGTTACCAAAACACTTTGAAAATGTGATAATATATGATACAGTCTCAGAAATCCAAAGAGAATTTATTTCATAAGATGTAATGTGGTGATTGAGAGTCAAAAGAACACTAAAAAAAATTAGAAATCTATAGAAATGGCTTATTTCTAATCAATTGAAGGTGTTTTTTCTTAATTTAGAGAAGACTCAGAGAGAGAGAATACCTTGTCTCCCGATACAGTGATCTATCTGCCTGTTGTTGCGAAAAGAAGTAGTTAACTTCAAGGAAGATTCAGATTAGACGGGAAAAAAAACATTTTAACTGTTAGAACAGATAAGCATGAAATAGTCCGCCCACAGTAATGCTTCCTGTATGCAACTGGAGATTTCTAAGACTGCAAAGCATCCATCAGGAAACATTAGTACCATAATTTGCAATGCTTTTAAACAGAGGAAGAGGCAAGACATTGTCTTCAGGTCTTTTCCAGCTTAGCTTTATATTTCTATGATTTTCTCTGGCTTTCTTTCTGGAAGTTTGGTACCAAATAAAAATTGGGTATGAAGAAATTAAGATCAAGGAACACTGACATTTTTATGTTAATATCTTAGTTTGGGCAAATAACTACCTACATAGTTGCCTTTTTCAATATATGCTCATATATGCTGTTTTCCACACAGTAGGTAAATCAAAGTCATCTCAAACTGAACAGGAGAACAATAAAAATTCAGATGCTGAAATCCTAGAAGAGAAGATTGACTTAGCCAGGGACCAGGTCCTACACAGGTATATTATATGATGTACAAAAACGTTGCTTCTGCCAAATGTTTAGGCATGTAATTAATCTGAATCTCATATGTGATCCATAATAGTTCTGACATGCCTAATGTTAAGAGTTTACCTAAGAGTTTCTCTAACGTGGAGCCTAAAAAGTGCTTTCATTTTTGGTACATTATAAAATCCTAGAAGATAAGAATTTGTGTGTTTTGCTTTTTCAAGGTATTCTTCCAAGGAGAATGTCTTTTTCAGATGTATATTGCATGAACCATATGTAAACATATATGCATCTATATGTATCTATGCATACGTATATCTGAGGTATGTCATACATCATGTGACTGCCCTCAGATTTTCTAAAATGGTATTTTCCACTTTTACATTTATAAAAAACCCAATTACTTTTGTATTTCTTATTGAATCATTGGAGTTTAACTTTACATAAAGAGCAAAATCAAGAACAACAAGATTTGTTTCTAAATATTTGATACTGTTAACTATTTCAGACTATTATACATTGATTATTATTGTTTTAGTTGTGATATAAGAAAGTAGGTTTACCTTGTGACAAGAAAGACTAAGAAATATATAAGGCTAGTTAATGGTAGGATTTTGAAAATTTTCCTATGTTGAAAATGAAGGGGTTGTTGTGGATGGGATATTATTTTGCAAAAAATATTGCCCAGATTTGTTTAGTATTAAATTAGATGGTCTGCTTTTTCTTTTGTTTATTATTTTGGGAAAATGTTTTATTTTCCATTAGATTTTAATTTTATACATTAATGTTATTTTTGTAGAATTTCAGGCTTTCTAGACACGTGGCCAGAATTAGAGAAATGGTTTTCAGTCTATCAAAATATTCTGGTGAAAGTCAATGCAGAGACAGAAGAAAGTCTCGTGTGTGAAACAGTGAAGGAAATTATAATGGAAGAAATTGCCAAAAACAGGAATAGAAGTAAGTTTTCCCGTTCTTACTTCTTACAATCCAGTAAGAAAACACTTTGTTTTTTATTATTAACACTAGCAATTAATATATAAAACTATATGGAAACATACTTTTTTACTGGCCCCTGCAAGACTTTGGGGATGTGTGAGTTAGTGATAACTGCACTAGAACTCTGAACTTTTCTATTGTGTTTTTACCTTTTCGGACCAATTTTTCACATAATTGTAAACCATTTGAGGAAAAAGTTTTAAAATATTTAAAAAGAAAGTGTCAACTGGATTTATTTATTTACTTTATTCCATGAAGTGAAGGATTACTAAATTCAGTCCTTTCTTCCTGATTTAAATATTACAGTTAGCATCTTCACAATATGGGATAGCATAATGATATGAGTCTAACTTGCTATTATCAACCTGTGTTCGTTTATCAGCAGCAGCTTAAAAACATGGATAACTTGGAGTTTTGACATGTGTTTTGTTGCATCTTTGTTCCATTTTTCCTCTTAATCACCTTGAAAAAGCAGATAAAGTCTTGATATGTCTTCTACCACTGGGGGAAAAAAAAATTAGCTTGAAAAGCACTCTTAACAGTAAAAGTTTAGACTACTACTCCTGAACAAGCGTTCCAGTTCATGAAAAATTCTTGGGATTATCTCACCTGACAGAAAACTGGATGGAGCATTTTCAAAGAACTACCTGGTTGGAATTGGATTTTTTTATATGCTTGATATAATTCATAACCCTGCTGGAGTCAATGGCAAAATTCCTATTGATAGAAATGGAGTTGAGATTATCTGTTTAGAATCCACCTATCTTGTAGAAGTACCATAAGGGCTATTTACTCCCAATGGAGAAATAATCCTTGGTGTCTGTTAATAATGTCTAATTTCATATTTATGTTGATAGATTCCAAACTGTCCTTCACTATTAAGTTTATACAAGCAGAACAGAGGTATGAAAATGTGTATTAATTAGTCAGACATCAGTAGCGTTCTGGGAGTGACATAGTAAAGCTAAATCCAGAGACTGGCTCTCAAAATATTTAAGAAAAGCTGAAGTAGTTGGAATATTTTATGTGGCCAACAGTTTTGTTCTTTTTATAAGCTTAAATCAGGAGAATGACTGAAGCACCCAGGAAGACAGTGTTTTCCAGAGGTAGATTTGTCACACGAAGTAAAATAAAAGACATCTAATCTTTAAATGTTAAGCTTCTTTCCAACCAAAAGACAAGACTGTTACAACAGTGGTTTAATGCAAGCCTATTTGTTTTCTAAGAATATTTTCATATCCACAGCAAAACTAGCCAGAATTCCTGCAGATGATTCTGAGCAGTTAATTAATGTGAACTTAAAAATCTAGTTGTTGTAGGGTCCTTCTGTGGTCACTGAGGAGATGCTGGTATCTTTCCAGAGGTCAGTTCAGATCCTAGAGTTGAACCATCTTCTGAAGATGCCGACTATATTCAGTATTATTTTGCTGTACTATAGGTTAGCAGGGTTAGTTTTTCCCTTATTTCATTCTGTACCAAGGCCCCATCCCTGGAGACATTCAAGATCAGGCTTGATGGGGCTCTGAGCAACCTGATCTAGCTAAAGATGTCCCTGCTTACTGCAGGGGAGTTGAACTAGATGACCTTCGGGGGTCCCTTCCAGCCCAATGCATTCTATGATTCTATGATCTTTTCTGTCTCTTCCCCCCCCGCGCCCGCCCCCATACATCATCTTTTATACTTCTCCTCAGAGTAAGGTGCATTTTTCATATTAGGCAAGATTTAGCTCAATTTACCTGTTTGTTTCTTCTTCAATGTTTATTTTTCTTGATTCCCTCTTTCCCAAGACTAGCATGAAAGCTGTGAGTGTTTATAATTGTTCTTTAATTAAGCAGGAAGTCCTTGAACTCATGACAGTTATAATGCATCTCAGAATTGTATCAACACCACTGGCCTTGGTTTATCTGATAAAGAATTTGTTTCTTATCCATACAAACGATTCATTACCTTCCTGTTTCTCTCCTAGTGATGGTTTTAGAAAAGTACCAGCCCTGCAAAATATAAGCTTAACTGGAAAATGATTTTGTTAACTATGGCATCATTGATTTGATTAGAGTATTTTTTGATCAACAAATCTAAGTAATGAAATACTGAATCTATTCCGTTATTTTGAACTTGTCAGAGAGCAGAGATGTCAGTTCTGTTTATTGATACTTAAAAGGCGTTTGAACGTACTAATTGTAAGTTCATAATCAAGGGTCTGCTCAAGAAATATCACCAGGAAAAAAGCTTTTAGCAGTTGCACATCGAGATCTGCTTCCTGCCATTCCTGTGCCAGCACCACCAATTGAACCAGGATCAGACGAATGGATTTATGTAGATGAACCACTTCCCAAGGTACATTCATTCATGATTAAAAGTCTTAGATATCAAAGTATGAGTTTTTTCCTCAGTATTTTATGCATAATCTACCTAAATGTTTTGTCTCATTGCACATTATTTTCTTCAATATTTTCAAAGAAAGGTACACTAGGACTGTACTATAAATATCTGAAAATAAAAATAACGGTTACTCCTAAAATATGTAAAGGAAACACCTTTAGAATTTTGATAATTGTTTGGTTTGGTTTTTTTCCTACATTCTTCACAATGATGATGAAGAATACGACATGGATGCCAAAATAATATTTTTAATAATATGACTTACTAGCATAGACTTACTAGGTCAGTTTCCTCTCTCTAACAAGGGCCAGTTGTGGATCTCATAGAAGGAACCTAAGAATGGGGAGAGTCTTTAATGCTCTTTCTCTTAGAATACTTTTTGCCTGATGTATTTTCCCCAAGAACATCTTCCTAGTTTCCAATGGTCTGAAATTTAGGGGTTTCTTGAGATGACTTTATATCTGCATCTTTGTGTTTAGTAGCCCTCGATAGACTTTTCTTCTGTGATTATGTCTAATTGGTTTTTTTGAAGCAATTTTCTTTTTTGTCTCCATGATCTGGCATGTATAGTTATGCTAATTCTGAAAAAAGCATTTCTGTCTTTGTTTTAAACCTGTTGTTTGCTCGGGTCATTTCAGTGCTTGTATTGTGTGCTGCAATGAATAGTAATTCTATAATCACCTTCGGAAGGTATTTAAGGTGTGACGGACATCTATTACATCTTCATTTTGCTCAGTGTTGCTTTGCTTCTCCAGTCATAATCTGTTTAACTCTCATTATGTGGAGCAGCTCATATGTTCAGTTTGATTGTTACCCTTCTGTCTGTCTGTTCTAGCTCTACTGTAAATTTTTTTAGATGGGGAGCTGGGACTGCATGTAGTATTTGACGTGTAGATTTGAAGGGTGTATAATAATGCTTTGCATTTTGTTCTGTAATTCCTTTCCTAGTATTTACCAGTTTTGCCTTCATGACTGCAATTAGCTCGCATATGTGGGATTTCCTCTGGCCATGGGCTTTATTTAGTGTTTCATGAAAATCAGTCAGTCAAATGTCACTTTTGCAACACTAGACAGCTTGTACCGGCTTGAACAGTTGTGTACTGCCAAATTTTGACACTTAAGTACTCACTTAATATCTTCAGTTAGTTTATGTATATATCTAAAACAACAGCTGTTGGAGTAATCTGCTGAAATTTCCCATTCATTTTGACTACTGCCACTTTTTTCCAAAGAAATGCACAGGATAAATCATATGTTGGTACAGTGTCTATAATCTGTTGTAAACAGTTATAAATCAAATGAAATACATAGTGAAAAAAATCAGTAATATGATTCAATGAAATAATCTTTCTTGTATTTGCTGATGCTGCAGCTAAATGGGTTACCAGGAAATGTATCAATTAATTTTGATGTTTTGAAAAAATTCACAGGAGATACCTGGTTTTTTGGTACCTTACTGGGAAATGGTAGAAAGTGCGTATGTGAATACCATCAAAACTATACTTAGATATCTAAGAGATGAACAGCACTCTGTGATTTATTACTTAGCAGATGTTAGGTGAGTAGAAATAGTAGCTTACTATGTTATTTTTTTTTTTTTTGTATTTTCATGAAGGTATTCTATATATATATGTCTTTTAACACCAAAATTATTTCTACCATAATTTACAGAAAAAAATTCCAAAATTATTTGAAGCATCCAGATCTTAAGCAGGAGTTTGTATCTCAGTGGCAATCAGATTTCAATTCAATTGCTGATGACCTGCGAGAAGATGAGGAAACAAAAGCAGAACTACACCAAAGAGTTACTGTAAGTAAATGGCAAAAGTTATAATATACCCTAAAGTATTATTTCATCGTGTACAAACTCTACGTAACAGGAATCATATTATTATTTACACTTTTTTCCTTTTTACCATTCCTCTTAAACTCTTTGACTTCCTCTTGTACATAAAGGGTTCTTCACAATTATTTCTCTGGTGTTTGGCCATACCTTTCTTATGTCTTGCTTCTTTTTTTAGGTTATACTGTGGTATTCTGGCACATCATAAAATAAATATTTCTGTGCTTTCTTTTTCTTTACATTTTATGGTTTTCAGAGATTTTACTCACAAGTTTGGACATTTCTATCACATTCTAATAAATCCTGGCAGTCATTTAGTTTGACCATAAATGATATATGGTAATACATGTTTTCTAAAACTGACTCATACAAAATACAGAGAATTTCTTTGAAATGTTTTGACTCAGGTAGGTCTTAGCTAAGTCGTACATGTCCTGAGAGTTCTTCTTCACATGAATCTGTAAGAGTAAAGGTCCTAACAAGTTCAGAGCCAGATTTAACGTAGACAGGAAGCAGGAGCTATCTTTGAATTTATCAGATTCCCATTTCAGAACAGATATAATTTTAGTTGAAATCATATCAGGAAATGCTCCCAGAAAAGGGGAAAAAAAAGTCTGGCAACACTGTTAGTTGAAGGTAACATTGGTGGAATCATGGATGAATCCACTGAGATGGAAAAAGCACTGGACCTCCTTTTCTATAGCATTATTTCAATAGAATGAAGAAGAAGACTTAAAAATCATCATCCATATTCCTGATTTCTACTAAGTGGAAATGTAAAAAGACTGAAATCCCTCTGTCCTGTATTTTAGAAAGTGAAAATTTAAAATATTTGACCTTTAACTCGTAACTGGAATCCATGTTTGGCGTTGTCCTTTTCAAATTAGGTTAAGAGGAGGTGATAGTCCCATATGATGGAGATATCACAGATACTGTGACAAAGCTAAGCACACTAAGTGGGGCAGTTTGGAGTAAATATATGGTTTCCAGAATTTCGCTTTATGAATGAGCCAGCCATTCTAGTACTTGTGGATCCCAAAGCTGTGGGTGAATGTGAAGGTGATACCTCCTCTATGCTTTTAAGCCCTGCATGTTGTACCTCCCTGAATGTAAGAATTCTGTCATCCATCTTTCTGTGATGCTAGAAAAGAAGAAAGAAAAAATGACAAGTGTGATAATCTGTGGAATGTTTTTCCTCGAGCATTTTCAGCCTTCCCAGCCTGCTCATTTCTGTCATTTGAGGTTAAAAAACATTGCATTGCAGCTGTGAGAGAGAAGTGATAAAATGTGGAGAAACAGCTATGCAGTCACCAAGGTTAGTGAAGAAGGAGGGTAGCCATTGGAGAAGACCATGGTGACGCAGGTTGTTCTGCTGCAGCCCGTGAAGCAGATATCCACCCTGTAGCCTGTGGAGGACCCCACACTGAAGCAGGTGGATGTGCCCTGAAGGGAGCGACAGGCTGTGGAGAGGCTACACCCAGGCTCCTGGCAGGTACTGCAACCCACAGAGAGGAGTCCACGCTGGAGCAGTACAATCCTGAAGGACTGCACACATACAAAGGACCCACGCTAGACCAGTTCTTGAAGAACTGCAGCCCATGGGAAGGACCCACATTGGAGAAGTTCATGAAGGACTGTTTCCCATGAGAGGGACCCCACTCTGGAGCAGGGGAAGAGCATGAGGAAGAAGGAGTGGCAGAGACAACGCATAATGAACTCACCACAACCCCCCACTTCCCAACCTTCCTGTGCCACTTCGGGGGCAGGAAGTAGAAAAGTCATGAGTGAAGTTGAGCCTGGGAAGAAGGGCTGGGGGAAAGGTGTTTTTAGTTTTGTTCTATTTCTCACTATTCTGCTCTGTTATTAATTGCCAATAAATTAAATTAATTTTGCCAAGTTGAGTCTGGTTTGTATGTGATAGTAATGGGTGAGTGGTCTCCCCATCATTGTTTTGACCCATGAACTTTTCCATCATATTTCCTCCCCCTGTCCTGTGAGGGGGAGGAAAGATAGAGCAGCTTGGTGCCTTGCAGCCCTGCAAAACAGAGAAGTTTTATGCTTATATCTTTTTTATTCAGTAGCATAACCTTACCTGTTTATTCTACCATGAAGACAATCATGAATACCTGATAGCCTTCACCTTGGTTGCCTTCTATCTATGCCATCACTGATGTGTTAGGTAGCCCAAGGACTACTTGGGCTCACTTTTGACCAACAGAGGGCAACTGGATTTGTCTGAAATCTTTGGATGGTGGGGTGAGAAACAGAATCTGACATATTAGGCTGGGACCAAGACCTGGTGAATATGGAATCACTTATCACCTGAAGCCTACGCTCCACGTTGAAAGGCTAGTAGCCTGCAACACCTTTTCTCTTTATCCTGAAACAGGTCAAGTGGGATAGAACTCCTTGAAGCCCAAGAGAGAGCTCATCTTAGCCTACCGTAGCACTGCATTTAACAGTATTCTCTTCCTGTCACCTCTTACTGCATAGAGGTCTGTCACACTATTTCCATGCAGAGAAGGCAATGGAGAACAGAGGGTTTGCATGCATGTTGTATGCTTAGTATGTCTTCAGTGCCGTCAGTGAGCCACATAGTGCTGCTATTAGATATAGTCACTAGTTGAAGAGCCCTTAGTTTTAAAGAAAAATGGCATGGAGCTACCCATATTGGAAGAATATTTGAACTCTGATTCTCAGAGTTGTCAGAATTTTTTGTATTGCACATCTCCTTAGAGTATTCTCATGTATTACTTAGCAAACCATTCAAGTAGAAAGTTGTTGGTGTGGTTGGGAGCTCAGCTGTTCATATTCTTGTGTCTTTGTCTAGCATATATAGATGTTCTCTACCTGAGGAAAGCAAGGCAGCCTACACATTCATCTCACACCTTTGTATTCTCTCTGGCACAATTGTAAACCTGCTTTCTGCAGGTCTCTGTAAGCACATGACTTGTTGACCAGGCTTTGACATTCATAATGATAAAGAAAAAGCCCCAAACGGGAAGATAACCTATGACCAGGCAAAAATTATAATTTTTAATAATAAATACAAAAAGGTATTTACATTTTCTTTCATAATTATTTCTCATATTTGATTTTGTGTTTTAGGACCTAAGAGATCATCTATGGGATATCTGTGATAAGAGAAGGGAAGAAGCAGAGCAGGAGCGTACAGATATCATGAATGATGGCTGGTTACCAGATCATAGGGGGATTGCAATGAACCATTTCTTTTCACTTATGCAGGTATGAATCCACTATGGAGTCTGCAATGGAAGGGGACACAAATTGGATTTGAAGGACAGCAAGCCTCAGAGCAGTTTCATATGGTTGGCTCCAAATAAGCGAGGGATTGAGAATTGCATTAGCAAATGTTCATACCTCTTCTGAATGTGTCTAGAAAGTTAAAAGACAAAAAGTAGATGACATTCCATACATTTAACTGTTTGGCAGGCAGAAAATGAAAAGGAAAACCACTATTGTTGTCCAACCCCCAACACTTTCCATCTGTAGTGTATAGTGCTATATTATTTGCAATTTCAGCAGTCCAGTGAATGCATCATCTGAGTTTTGTAACAGAAATGTTAGAGCTGTTTATCCTTCTGTGATCGTATTGACATCTGCTCTTAATTTACAAATTACGTAATTCACTGTGGGTATGTGCTGTTAAGGTTCTCCTGTGTTTCCTATATCACAAAATTATTTCAGTTGTAACTTCACCAGTGTGGCCTGAAATTTTACCTAGAGACTGAAAAAAAAAAATTGCAAGGAATGTTTTTGAGAATATGATGTTATTTGTTGCTCTTGAGAAAATCCATTCAAACATGATCCAGGCTTCACACATCTATCTTTAAGTTTCAAGAGACCATCTTCAATTATTTTGATCTCCCCTCCCCCACATTAAGCGTTTCCTCTCATTCAGCCTGATTATTAATTACTTCACTTCCTGAAGTAAAGTAAGATTTCCGTGTGACTGTTGTTCTAGCTGCATAAATTTGGTTTAGAGCTGGACTGGACTGGAATAGACCAGACTAGACCAGACTAGACAGGCTAGTGAAAGTTTTGTCAACTTTAAAGAAGACAATTAAAACAGTGCTTTAAACACTTGCCATGTGATGCTAATTTGACTGAAAAATCAGGCCTAAACAGCTTAGGGTGGGCTTCCTGCCCTTTAAGTCTCTGTTATTTTTGTGTGTTTAATAAACAAGGGAACGACTCTCTTATCTCATATGCGTGTTGTGGTAATTTAAGTGAAATGTGAGAAGTGGTCAGTTACTGTAGTTAGGAAATTATTAATTCTGTTTTCAAAGAGTCTAAATAATGCCATAAATAAAGACTTAAGACCGTCGACTAAAGAGAGACATCAAAATATCAAATAACTGCTGGCAACTGAACCATATGTGTCCTGTAATTAGGATATTTATAGGACTGAGTATTTAAGAAATACCTATTGAATTATATGGATAAGGGAGCCAAATTAATAGTATATTGCTGAGCTCAAATCTTTTACTTTTCCCCTTTTATATTTATGTATAACTCTGCAGTCCTAATTCTCTTCTAACAGGATTTCATGGACATGTATGATGCAGTCCAGAGGAGTTCCGCTATGAATCTGATTTCATCTGTCTTGTGTGGATATGCAGAATAGCCCTTTAAAATTAAAATACGTGTATTAAACATATCTAAGCTTTTATTTTCCTAAAGAAAAATGCAAAGGAAACAATTTTTACTTTCTTTACTTAGTATATACTCCCCAAAATAAATGAATTATTAATGCTAAAACTACAAAACTAAAAATATAACAGCTGTGTTATGGCTTTGTTTAAGAATCAGCCAAAAATAGGCTTCTTTGGTCTTGAGCTCTCTGTCTGTGGGTTTTTCTGTGGGAAGTTACATATGTTCCCCAGGTGGCTCTGTTACTGTGTAAACACATAGATTTCTATAAATGCCGTTTATCAGATTTCTTTCCACCTTTCTGTGTACACACTGTTATACTAGAAGATATTTTCTCCTTAACTTATGGATAAATGCTGGTTTACACCACAAAGGTTTTATCCTTTGTTTTGTGAATGTGGTTTTGTGCATTTTCCCATGAATATTTAGTACTGTTTTGACAGTTAGAACACCATACTGTATCAATAAATCAAAACATGACAGGTGTTAAATGTTTTTTCAATCTTACTTGATTTCTTCCAAGATGATTCACACAAAAAGATCTTCAAGACAGTTAAGTGTGTAAAGTCTGTTGGTTTCTTTGGTTCAGAAAAACTGTATGGCTTTTAAATTTTTCTCCATAGCTTAACCCTTTTTATTTTCTGCTATTAAGGATTTTATTTCTTGTGAACAAAAAGATGCCTATAATTTGTTGGTACTAGTGTAGTTGCTATTACAGAAATAAATATACATCAAAATATATTGTAAATAAATTTAATGCATCAAACATTATTTATTGTAAATAATTTTTAGTATTCTAACAACTAAGATTTTTGTTAATCTTTAGAAATACCAGTGTGAAGACATTATAGAAGTATGCATTGCATACACTATAAATTTTCAAACAAATATGGTTATGTTTGTTGCTCTCCCACAAACTCATAGGATTTAGAATTGCTTCTGCTATCATGTATTTAAAAATGTAACAAAAATTGGTTCTGTCTGTTTTGAATTGCAATCTTTCTGTCCTTTCTTCTTGAGGTTGAAGTGGATCGTTTTCAAGATACAAAGAGACTTCTTTATGACTATTATATGGCAATGGAAGGAAAAATCCCAACAGATGATGGTCAAGATTTTACTAGAATCCCATTGTTAGATATTATTGATGCAGAGCAGAAAGAAGATCAAAGCAAATCAAGAAGGTAGAAATGCATTATTAAATTGTACAAATAATTTAATTATAACAAATAATTATACAAGATAACTTCCTGACCCAGCTGGTAAGTGAGCCCACCAGGGGACATGCTTCACAAGACCTTCTGTTTACTAACAGAGAAGGACTGGTGGGTGATGTGGTGGCAGGAGGCCATCTTGGGCTTAGCGACCATGGAATGATAAGAGTTTTCAGTTTTTGGCAAAGTAAGGAGAAGAGACAGCAAGACCGCTACCATGGACTTCTGAAGGGCAGACTGTGACCTGTTGAGGACACTGGTTGAGAAAGTCCCTTGGGAATCAGTCCTAAAGGGCAAAGAGGTCCAGGAAGGCTGGATATTTTTCAAGAAGGAAGTCTTTTGGAAGTGTGTCTGGAAAGCTGCCCAGCAGAAAAGGACCTGGGAGTGCTGGTTGACACCTGGCTGAACGTCAGCATGCAGTGTGCCCAGGTGGCCAAGAAGGCCAACAGCATCCTGGCTTGTATCAGAAATAACGTGGCCATGAGGAGTAGGGAAGGGATAGTGCCCCTGTACTCAGCACTGGTGAGACCACACCTTGAGTACTGTGTCCAGTTTTGGGCACCATAGTATAGGAAAGGCGTTGAGGTGCTGGAGTATGTCCAGAGAAGGGCAACAAAGCTGTTGAAGGGTCTGGAGAACAGGTCTTATGAGGAGTGTCTGAGGGAACTGGGGTTGTTTAGCCTGGAGAAGAGGAGGCTGAGGGGAGACCCTATCACTCTCTGCAACTACCTGAAAGGAAGCTGTAGTGAGGCCGGTGTTGGTCTCTTCTCCCGAGTAACTGATGACAGGACAAGAGCTAATGGCCTCAAGTTGCGCCAGGGGAGATTTAGATTGGGTATTAGGAAGAATTTCTTTACTGAAAGTGGTTAGACATTGGAACAGGCTGCGCAGGGAAGTGGTGGAGTCACCATCCCTGGAGATGTTCAAAAGACATGTAGATGTGATGCTTAGGGACATGGTTTAGTGGTGGGCTTGGGAGTGTTTGGGTAATGGTTGGACTTGATGATCTTAAAGGTCTTTTCCAACCAAAATGATTCTATGATAAATATTAACAAATACAATGCACAGATAGCTTTGTGAGTGTGTGTGGAAATATGTGTGTATATATTTCAAATGATGGGGAAATAAGAATTTTTGACTAGGTATTATAGTCAAATGGTGAATTGTGAATCATCTTATACGTTTGATTTGTCCCTGATTTTTTAGTGATTTCCCTATACCATTTTCATTAATGCATCTCTGAATTATAAAACGTTTTAATAGCCACCTTAGAAAGAAATCTGCTATAGAAATGTTTCCTACTTCCCTCTGTGTTGCTGACAGTTTCCAGCACAATCCTCACATAACTAAGTTAAATATCATTATGGAACATTAACAGGTTTAAAATTTGCACCAACAAACATAATTAAATGGGTTATGTAATGACAAATGTAAATCAAAGTAGCCTACAAAGATGCACAGAATTGAATGCCGTATTAAAAGGTAAAGGATACAGAATCACAGAATCAGAGAATGGTAGGGGTTCAAAGGGAGCTGTGGAGATCATCTAGTCCAGCCCCCCTACTAGAGCAGGATCACCTAAAGCAGGTTGCACAGGATTGTATCCAGGTGGGTTTTGAATATCTCCAGGGAAGGAGACTCCACAACCTCCCTGGGCAGCCTGTTCTGGGGCTACGTCACCCTTAAGGTAAAGAAGTTGTTCCTCATGTTCAGGCAGCACTCCCTGTGCTCCAGTTTGTGCCAGTTGCCCCTTGTCCTGTCGCTGACCACCACAGAAAACAGCCTGGCTCCATCCTCTTGACAGCTGCCCTTTAGATAGTTATAAGTGTTGATAAGGTCCCCTCTCTGTCTCCTCTTCTCCAGGCTAAAGAGCCCCAGGTCTCTCAGCCTTTCCTCATAGGAGAGATGCTCCAGTCCCCTCATCATCTTCGTAGCCCTCTGCTGGACTCTCTCCAGTAGTTCCCTGTCCCTCTTGAACTGGGGGGCCCAGAACTGGACACAGCACTCCAGATGTGGCCTCACCAGGGCAGAGTAGAGGGGGAGGAGAACCTCCCTTGCCCTGCTGGCCATACTCTCCTTCATGCACCACAGGATAGCATTGGCCTTTTTGGCCACAAGTGTATCAAATAACCAGAATATCAGAAATGCCTTTGATAATGGCCACGGCTTTTTTTAAATACTTAATGGTTCATTTAGAAACTATCTTAGCAATGAGGTTGTGCTACTAGCCTGTGTGGAATATACATATATTAGCAGATCATGCAGTCATTTGACATAGTTTTATCCATCTATTATTATTCCTTAGCTTCCGTAATTAAACTAGACAGTTTTCTTGTCATCCACACATTTCACCACTTTTGGTCATAGGGAAAGTTCATTCCTTTTCTGTTGCTATGGAAGATTTTGAAAATAGCATTCTCATTCTCTTAGCATATTCTCAAATGTAGTTATAAATTAACACTTTTTATAAAGAGGGGTGTGAATTATTCTTTATATTTTATTTTAAGGATCCCTCTGGTTTCTTGGAAAGTGCCTTCACCAGAAATAAATATTACCAAGTCAAAAAGCAAGAGAACTCCACGGAAGAGTGCCAAGGATGAGAATTCTGAAAATGGAGTGGCCACTTTTGGGAAAGATCAAAATCTGATTACTGGTACATGGCAATCAGCAGTAACAGCAGTATCAAATATGGTAAAGAATTTTATTTACTTAAACATTTCTGGATTGGACAGTCAAAGCCTTATATTCAGTAGGCAGCTTAAACACACAGCCTTCACACTGTGTATCTGAATGTCACGCTTCTTGCTCCATCACTGATATTTCCATTTAATATGTTTGTGTTTCTATGAGGAAAATGTTGAGATCTGTGTATGATCAGCACCTCTGTATTTATAACTGACCCCTTCATTACTGAGAGAAATGTTTTGAATGTTAACTCTATATATGTACCTCTTCCATGAGAAACTCCCCCCTTATCCCTCAATAGAAGCATGAGAAGAGGGACAAGTTTTATCCTGTGATGCAGTGTTTGCTCAAACGTTTCACAACTTTAAAAGTTATACTTACATTCTTTTTTTTATATAACTAAAAGTAAATTAGATGGGCAAATGGTTAGTTTCTATGTTTGTTTTTCTTTCTTCTTTGATCACTTCAAAATAAGTGGATTTCTGCACCCTTGCAGTGTAACTGTAGTCTTGCTTTGCATGCTGTTGATTCTTACATTTCTCATTTTTTCCTTGTGTTTTTGTTGTAGATTTTTATTTTATAAATAATCAAAAGATAATAAATTTAATTAGTTAAAATATCTGCTTTGTTTTATTTAGGTGTGTATGTCTCAGCAACTACTTTCAGCAAGTATAGGCTATTTAAAATAGTAGTAGCACAGTGTTGATACTATGTACTTTACTATGTGTGACTATGGTGTCAAGGTAACAGCTGAAATACAGTCTCAAGAAATGGAGAAAGAAAAAGAACATCTTCAGCTAGAACTGAAAGAAGATCTGAAATCTTCACAGATGCTGTCAGGCAAAGCTACTGGGAAAGGTGCCAAAGATGCTAAAAAGCTTTCTCCCAAATCAGCTACTAAAAAGAAAGGTATTTGAAATGCAGACTTGTTTTAGCAGTGCTTGAAATTACTGAAATGTAAATATGTCAGTAATATAGAAAAGAGTAAGCCAAGACGTTTAATTTGGATTTAATTTCCCTTTTGAAATGTCAAATATGACATATCAATGTGAAAAGCTGATAGCGTTAAAGGATGGCAGAGGCTTTTGAATGTCAATTGCATTCATTTAATCTTATGTCTTGCCGTTATTATTATATAGAAATAAATATTCTAAATAGAATCTCAAAAGTAAAGATTAATTTTTCTCCATGTGCTGTTTTGGAACTGAATAGCTAGCATTAGTTTATCAAATTAAATGAAATTCCATTAAATTCTGCCTACTTTCCAGCCATAAGTCAAAATATTTCAAATATTAAAATAAAAGTACTGGAACAGAATGGATAAATTATTGAATACCCCAAGCTATTTTGGAATTAATTCATCAGCCATATAGTACTATGAATCCATCAAGGTCCATTGTTTTTATATATAACTATAACATGGTGTAAATAAAGAACATAAAATTCAATGGCATATGCTGTCCTAAAAAAGACCAGACTCCCATTGAGGTAGATCTTGCTCATAGGCCTGGCAAGAATCTGTCCAACCAGGTGAGAATACAAAATTTATTTGCAAAAGAGAAACAGATCTAAAACCCCTATCTCTTTAGCCTAGCAATTAAGGCAGTCTGCTGGAAGGAATTCCGGTATGCCACGCTGTTTCTACATTTTTTCATAAATAGTTCTTACTTGAGCAGGCAGTGGTTTAAGTAACTTCGACTTTTTTCTGCAAAATGTGATAGCTCCAGCAGGAAACAAGGCTATTAGCCTAAACCTTGTACCTTTTGTGAAGACTTTCTACATAGCAAGAGAGGGGCTCAAGCCCTGCAGGTGCGATGGTAGCCTGGAATTCAGGTACTCCATTTCCAAGTGAGAAAGCTGTAACTTCAGAGTTGTTATGCGTAAAGCGGCTGACTTTTTTTGTTTGACATTCTATTTGCACTGTACTCAGTGCTCTCACTCTGGCTGATTCTGCTCATAGTACAGTGAACAAGTATAACCTTGCAAATTCTTAGCCACATGGATACCTAATTTGTGAGCCCCAGGGAGCCTTAGGTGTATGCTTAACACCTCGATCCAGCCAAGAGAGTAGCAGATTTTCAGTTTTCTAGAAAAGTCTTGTGATAAAAAATCAGTAGCTGAGTCACTAGGTTGGGGTTTGTGGATCACTTCTTGGAAGTAGATTTTTCCTCAGACCTGGTACTAGCTAACTTACCTTGACAGAACTGCAACTAGAACTCTGTTGTGCACTCCTCATGTAAAACATCGAGTACCAACTGTTGTATCTGTAACTGAAGTATCAACTTTGACTTCATGCCAAATACAGTGTTACTGTAGTGCTCCTGTAACAGAATTCCCTAGGATACAGCTATAGGCTAGTAACTGAGTGCTACAACTTATCCCATGTAATTTTATCACTTCTAGATTCGACCATTTGCTTTATGTTGACATTATGTATCATGCAGATACAGCAGATCCATCTGCTTTTCCTCTAGGACAAATCAGTTACAAATATATTAATATTTTTGAGTAATAGCCAAAATGTGAATAGCAATCTTTAAAAACGTGATAAAATACCTTTACAATGTCTGTTCATAGATATGTAAGTTAAAACAAGCTGCAGAAGCAGCTGAATGAATGGTTTAGAATGGCATGAAATCACATAGCTCTCTTTTTTTTTTTTTCTGATATGGGGTTTTTAAGTAGCATTATTGTTCTTTTCACTGCTTTAATGGTAACTAATGGTATTTACTAACATAGAATTTTTACTACAGTTGTCTAAACTTGAATTCACTTCAGAAGGAACAGCTATAATTCAAAAGAGGTTTATTTATGTGCTGGTTGTGATAAATTGCATAAATAGGTTTTAGGGTCAAAGAGAATATTTTGACCACTAGGATCACAACAGAGTTACACCTGCTCAGTCATGTTTTCCATTTAGAAATACATTTTATGATGTTATTTAGCCACTTTTAATACAGTTGTGTATACTGGAGTAATTTTATGCAGTGTTAATCTTAGCACATCTTGCAGATGTAAATCACATTTGAAGAAATCTAGATATTTTATGTTGGCGTAAGACACCTGAGTAACCGTGTTTGTATTCTCATAAATGGTCACATCAAGTAAGGTGGAAAGTGCCATTTTTAATTTAAAAAAATGTGCTGCCTTGTGGGTGCATGTGTATTGATACGCAAACTTACCAACAAAGTCCAAAGACTGTGGGAGGTCTATTTTCCTGCAGGACCACCTTCTACCGCACCTGTGGTTGAAGTCATTTCAGTTCCTATAACTCCAGAAGAATTAAAGAAACGAGAACTGACACTGAAAATAAAGCAAGAATATTTCAGTGCCTTGAAACATGAGGGTATGTTACTATTTGGTTGCTTATACTGGGGCATGATCTTTATTCCTAATTTAGATAGTGTAATAAGGAAAACTAGCCAGAAACTCTAGGGAAAATGGATGGATAAGTAAGAAAAAGGAGGGGAGAAAAAGCAGTATCTGGAGAAATCAGGAATTTTTTTAGGCTGGTAGTCAGGAGTGGGTTTATGTTAAATATATTTAAAATAGAAATGTGTTTTTCATTCTTCTTTTTGTTCTCTTCTGTTTAATTTTCATTTAATTTCATTTTCCATGACTAAGCAAGTATTCATCATGAAAGACTATGTTTCACATAGGTGGTTAGCCACTCTTCAGTATTCAATTAAACTGAATTCAGTATTTGAAATGTTTTAATCTGGGAAAGAATTTGGTGGCAATTATATATTTCATTGATTCTCTTCTCTCTGATTCCCTCTTCCTCAAGCCACATGGGCTTGAAGCAGCAAAATATGTATTGTGTTTATTCTTCCAAACGCCTTTCCAGTCAGACCCTTCCAGAAACTACATAATGATCAGTCATTCTGTCTCTTTGTCTGTCTTAACCAGTAACTTCCAAGCCAATGAGTCAATTTCAGCCAAAAAGTAGATGTCTGAAAAACAGAAGTCCCAAGTTGAAAATAGGTTGACTTTTTTTCTGAAAATGGGTTTAGACTAGAAGAAAAAGACCTCTTTCTCACTAAAGGGAATACAGAAGCTAACTATTAGAGATTCTGTTTGGCAGCAGATGGCAAGCCTGTCATCATATATCTTACCTCCTTGGCAGGCTAACTTTTGCATAGTGTTTATTATGAAAAACAGAGGGCAAACAGCAGTTAATGAACAAAACCCAAATTCATATGGCTTATTTAGGTCCACACCAGACCAAATGCTTGTAGACATACCACTATCAACATGGCTTAATCCAAACGCGGTTTAGGGATAAATATTCTAAATTTTTGGGGTAATGAGGAGAGGAACAGTAGTAACTTTGAAGATCTTAATAGCAGGAAGATATATTTTAATGATTCATTGACATGTTTTGTTTTCTTGAGGTTACTTAATTTTCATCTCATATTTAACAAAAAATTGGTATAAGAATCTAAGGAAGACTAAACTTGTTGAGCTGTATTTCATAATTGCACAGGCATATAGCTGGTACATTTGAGGATCGTAGTTTCACTTGCAGCTATACTAACTGGATGCTTGTGCTTTTGCTTATATAGATACACAGAGACTAGCAAAATCACTAGTTATAGACAGTTGCTAAGTTTTTAATGTGGATTTCATATTCCATTTCTCTGTTGCCTCAATGTGCCTTGCCTTTTACTCTGCTACTCTTAAGAGAGCAGCTTTATCACTGGACTGTGCAGTACCTGCTTCTGAAAATGCAGGGAGACAAAAATTGTCGTACACTTATCTTTGAAACATACTGATAGCAAGTACTCAACGAAAATGCAGAGAAGTCACAAATAAGGTAGCCTTAAACTGTATTAAAGAAAAGTGACTAGACAGGTGTAAAGCATCCTGTAAGGTACTTTCATTGCTTACAACTTTTACACATGTCTTTGCCATCAAATAAAATAACCCTCTGTGAGACCCAAATCCATTCTGTGTTTTAAGATTTTGAACGTCAACTCTTTCTTGCTCAAAGCAGAAAGTGTGCAGAGTTGCATTCTACTGTGTCTGAGAAATAACATTAAAAGGACATGCCTTGTATTTTTCAAGGCACATCTTTCCACATTGGTTGCCTAAAGAATGTTTCAGCCCCAAATCTAAGTATTTTCAAAACTTAATAGTGTATAGAATAAGGATTATAATGTAAATAATTTTAGTCTTTAAATTTGAAGTACTGTACCGATTACTATTTAATATTGTTTCAAAGATTCTGCAGTACAGAAGGTTAAATATGAAGAAAAATCAGTTGAATACTGAATTTGTTTTCAGGACTGAAAATAATTTCTAGCTACTGGTCGTCTTTTCTTACTCTTCTTGTGTAGGGCTTTGAATGTCTTTCAGTGCCTGTTCTATGTGTCTCTCAATACATTACCTTAGCTGTCTTTTCATCCCATTGGCATTGTTTTCACTTTGGACCTAGCTGACTTGTTCTCATTTCTTGTCAGCTTAGAGGGGTTTTTTTAAGTATTAACCCTCAGTGAAAGACTGATTTGTTTTTTTCTCTCAGTTTGTCCCATTCTGAAAACTAAAAGTAATGAAATTCTCACTGTTTTTAGAGTTTCATGTAAATACTCTATGCAAAATTTTCTTATGAATTATTTTCTTAGCACTCACTAACAAAACTGTTTTCTAATGTAACCTGAACTTCAGGGTACAAAATAATCACATGTAGGAAGATTGGAGGAAAACCAGTGAGGTTAATTTAAAAGGCTGGAGGTTAGAAACAGAAAAGCAAACTTTTATTGTGATTAATATACATAATGATTTAGATGTGTTTTCATTAAAATTTATAACAAGGTACTCACACTTGCATCATTAACCTTCTAGGTCTGTTGCTGTATGGTGCTAATTTAGTTCAATGTCACTGCCTGCTTAAACATCCCTTGCACCTCTATATTGGTTTTATTAAGATCTTTGTTGCCTTGTGAATTCTGATGCTTATAGAAGACACACTTTTGTAAAATACGTGATGCAATAGGAGTGATTCTGAAAAATAATTTGTTCAAGAATATGAGAAATTAAATAAATATTTTACTGCCCCAAAACAGGTTAACATGTTAAACTTTAGGTGCTTAAGACTAATAATTTTCCTCAAGTTTTATAAATATTATCATGACATTACTGTTTAAACAGAGGTAGCTACAAAATCTCGACTAGAACTTATAAAAAAAAAGGCTTTAGCATTTGTTGAAGACCTAACAATGAAAGCAGAAGAGACATATAGAGATATGGAAAAGTGGCTTGGATCCAGGTTCTTGGCAGAAATGTCCAGGTAATGTATATCTGATTTTAAAGAGGAACCTTTTTTTTTAAAAAACTAGACTATGCTAGTAAAAATAGTTGTTTCTATAGAAGCAAAAAAATGGAAAAAAAAAAAGTAGAAAATAATAATTTAATTTCATGAACTGGAATTTATTTTTATCTTAAATACCTGAATGGTTATAACTCATTTCTTGGATGATTAGAAGGTTCTACTAGCAGCAGTAGAGGTAATTATCAGTTCTACTGTTTTTCTAGATTACAGATTTGCAAGCATCAGCAGACAACCAATTACTCTGTTTAGTAAAAGTCTCTATATCATTTCAGTGGCTTCTGTCACTTTGGATTGTGGGGTTGTTTTCTTCCTTGTGCTTTACACATGCTGGAAAAATTCCACCTACTGTTATTACTACTATGTATAACATTTCTTAAAATTATTTCAAGGTCCATTAAAAAAAAAGTTCTTTGCAATTTTTTTGTCCTGGTAAATAAAATGTGCTTGGGACCACTCTATGACACTTAGGCCATCTGGCACAGAATGGCCTATGTCCATATCATTAAATGATTTTACTCTCCAAAAGAAAGGGGTCACTTTGCCTTTTGGAAAATGTTTCTGGCCTATACTAGCTTTTGAATCATAACTGGGACAGTACTAGTCGATCCATGCCAGGGCAAGCCCAAGATAAGAGACATTAATGTAAGATGTGAAGGCTCTAACAGGCAATAGCTCAAAGAGGCCAAGCCTCTGCCTTCCAGCCAGTTTTATTTGCTCCTCCACAGTGCTCTACAAAGTGCTTTGTGCATCTAGGATGTAAGGGCAGAGCAGAAGACAAGGCATTGTAACAGGCTAGAGGATGAACACATGGTTAGAACATGTGTGTTCCACCCCTATAAAATTTATGGAATAATGAAAGGCTCATCCTTTTTGTATTTTTCCATCAGGTTTCTTCTGTGGCTTAGATCTGCCTTTATATAAATTTCTTACCAGAGTCAAACAATTTTCTGCTGCCAAAGGAGGAGTACACTTCATAATGATTTTGCTGAGTACAGAATTCACGTAAAGGATTTGTAATTCTTTCTTCAGGAAAGCACTCAATGTATAAACACATTGAAATTTGAACCTAAGTTATTAACATTGTGTATTAAAAGTACTCATTGTTTTCTGCTTTTACACTTTACAGTGTTGAAAAGCTGATTGAGGTTGCACGACATCATATTGAAAGTTCTAGCAAAATCCAATACGAAATTACTTTAGAAGAAACAGATTTTTTCATCAGCAGTGATGTAAAAGTGATTCCTGACCCTGTTCCTTCACCACATGTTTCACACATAGAGACCTCTGGAAGTGGTACTCTAACTATTTCACAACTTACTACACTTCACAAGCAGTTTCTACAGGTGGCACCTAAAGGTAAGAAAAGTTTTTACTTTTCAATCCTGTTAGTTACCTTCTTAAAATTTAAGTGACTGCTGGAGGCTACTAAACATTAGTTAAAGGTCATACTACAATCAAAGATCTTGCTACATATAAAAGTAACATCGTAGAGAGAATATTGAAAATGTGAAATACGAGACCACTTGAAAGCTTTTAATATCTTTGCTATGGGCTTTATATCCTCAAGACCACATACTTAATATTGCTCTAGCAGGTGTCTCTATAATATGTTTTTAAGTGTGGTATATATCATGCTTACTTTGCTTGAAGATGCAAGTCTTTAACTTGTTTACAAATTCATAGCCCAGTGAACACTGAAGCTGTATTATTTTAAAATACTTTTTCAAAGAAATCAGTATTTTAGTGAAACTATTGTATAGGGTCTATTATAACTATTAACCATTATATTCTTCAAGTCACTGTGTGCCGGTTGTTTTGGGTGATTTGCAAGTGTTAACTCAGATATCTATTTTTTTTCCTTTGTACATGCATTTATTGTGCGCCTACTCTCTAATTATGGGAACCTGAGACTTATCATGCTTGAAAAGACTTTCTTGCAAAACTTCCTTCTGCTGTATAAATGTTATAAAACAATTTAGGTAAAGCAGTTTTAAACTGAGATAGAAAGTTATTAAACACATATTTGCAGAGGGTTTTGTTACTACCACCAGTGTTCCGTATTATAATTATAATTTGAGTATGATTGCCACTAAAACTGTGAAATACAATTTGTAAACATATACTTAGAATTTTGTATCCAACACTTCCAAAATAATAAGGCTACAAAGGCACAATGAAACTGAATTTAATTCTTTATTCAGAAATGCTTTTCATGTATATTTATGCAGAAATTCAATTTACCTTTTGAGCATGAACCCATTTTAGGCAGAAAGAGGTTTACAGTTTTCCTTCGGAGAGGTGCATATCATCTTATCTATAGTGTAGGAGCACGCGTGGGTATGTAAGCATTCCAAACTCTTCTACAGAGATTAATTTAGCAGATAGTATTGCATATATAATGTCATGTGAAACTAAAAATCTGTGCATTTGTAATCATCAGATAGTGCTGTAGAGGTGAAACGCAGATACGAGTTTGACTTAGTCATTCCATTCAAAAGGTTTTCTTTTGTTTTTAAATCATTTATTCATTGAGATATTTAAAACTAAACCATTTTTTATCTACTACAAACTCTAATAGTCTTGACATGTTTAAGACAGAATAACTGTTTTCCTTGTACATTTGTAATAATTAGCAAGCAGACAAATGAAATCTTTATCTTTCTACAATATTGTCCTTTTGATATTATGATAGTCACTAAAATAACTGAAGATGACTTGCACAGCTATCCGAAAAGGTAAATATCTTGGCTTAGTGGTCATCAGACAGTAGAAGAATGCTGTTGCACGTTCTCTGGAACAACGGTAAGGAATTATTGTTTAAAGTAAGGTACCAAAGAATGTGCAACAGCATTCTTCTACTGTCTGATGACCACTAAGCCAAGATATTTACCTTTTTGGATAGCTAAATTAGGATGGGAAGCACAAGCTTAACATACTTCCTCCCATTCACTTACCCATTTTAAGACCGCATAAATCACATCCCAGATTTCCTAAGGCAACCACTCCCCTTCATTATAGAGACTCCACAGGAAGAGTTAAGTCCTTCCAAAATCTCCTAAAACATCAGGAAAATTTTTCACATCCTTCTGTCTATGCTTGTTCAATAGAATGCTCAACAGAAAATAGATGCCTCCTTAGTAGTTGTCTCTAGTAAACACGAGAGAAAAGCATTAAAGCATCGAGCAGTGACACTGTTGGATGGCAGCTCTAAAGGAGATACAAAAAAGTAGTCCCTGTCTAGGACAACCTCTAAACAGATCTAGATTTGCTGCCAAATACCTTAGTCTTCTAATTCTTAACTCACCTAAATAGTCCGCAGACCATTCATAATGGAAAGCCGAGTGAATGAGCAGATGAGGCATGCACAATAAAGCAAGTCTGAATAGAATAAATCTACCAATCTTCTGTACTATATAGGTAGCAAAATTCCTAAAGTTGTTTTGCAAATGGAGTATTAGGCTTATTTTTTATAGCATTATGGAGATTACATGAAGAAGAATTTTACATAGAACTCCAAGCAAAACAAAGAGTAGCAAAGGAGAAATTATTATGTTGGAAGAAATAAACATGTAAACAGTTTTTCATAGGATATTTGGTAAATGTCAAAAGGATGCCTTTTCAAGATACATTTAACAAATTGCCAAAATGAAAGCAAAAAGTGAGAGTGCCAATATACTTTAAAATCATTTGGTATTTACAAAAGAAATCGTATAAAAATTGTAAATAGTTTTGTGTTTCCTAGGAATTTAAAGTATTAAGGAACTGCTGATTCATCACAGACAACTTTGTTCTATCCTGCATGCTTGGTTCTCCATGGAAGCACGTTACTCACCATTCTAAGCACCGATGGACAGAAAATACAGCCTATGCTGGACTTCCTATCCTACTGACAGAGTCTTTCATTTGATAAGCAAATATTAAATTATATATTTTTTTATTATTCCAAGTGCCATTGCCCAAACTCTGGCTCTGCAATATTTTCACTAATTTTACTAACTCCTTTGATCACTTTGTTAACAGTGCTTTAATACATTGCCTCAGGAATGAGCTGCTTTTTTACAGGAAGAAATGTGGCAGGTCTTAAACGGAGCTACTAACACTCATTGGTTTTCCTTTTCTCTTCTACTGTCTCTTTGGAAGTGTTCTGTTCTTATCCACAGAATTAAACTAACCATCTATTAGATCTCATCCCCTTTGCACTATATTCTTCCTAATACCACTTCTATTGTCAATTCAATTAGCACACACCTGGAATGTCTCAATTTTCTTCAGAAAATCCAATTTTGGTAATGTTTGTATTACCAAACAGATCAAAATAGGTCCTATCTTAGACTTTTTTTCCTCATCTTATGTCTGTGTTACAGAAGGGAATTTTAAATTTTGTTTGTTTTGTCAGTCATGATCCTCATGAATCATTCCAGTTTGAATTACAGAACTGATTATTCATCAGAAATAAACTTCAATCAGGTTTAAAAAACGTATGTACCCAGTATCCAAAAAGTGTTTAAAATGCTTATTTATAAAACTATAAAATAGTCTGCTAAGATGTGAACTAGTAAAACATAGAGGACAGCCTATGACCAAATCGTATTGGTATTTCTTTTCAAATTATAGACTTGTCAATTCAGTTTTACTGTGTTGCTAAATTTGAAACAGATAGGCATATTAAAATATGTATCTAGTTCAGCTCAAATTTTACCTTTTTAATAGAATATTTTATTGAGTGGAACAGTCAGAATTACCCGCTGATCTTGAATAACGTCTATAGATTATGCTTTCTCTTCCTAAGCACTTTTGTAGAAACAATTCAAGAGCCTACAATAGTAATCCTCAGGATCTGGCTTTGATGTGAATAGAGAGTGAAGTCTGTATATGAGTGTAGAAATAAGTTTGTCATCTCTAACTTATCTTTTCTAAGTCTATATTCCTTTTCAATGTGCTTTTTTCAATACTTGTAAATAAGAAAGGTTAAGTTTGTAGACGGAGGAAGAATCTTTTACTAGGCCAATAATACAGATAGAAAATGCCCAAACTTTTGGGATATAAAGCACTTAATCAGAGATCCAAACCTCTCCCTACAGGTAATGGAAAATTTGGTAATTCTACTGACTCAGTTTCATTTACATCTCCTGTTATGTCTCTTACTAAATCATGTGTGTTACTGAATTTCAGAAATCTGTGACTGTTTGCCTATCATGTTTAAAAATCTGTTTATCCAGTTACTTTTATGAAACATACTTAACATACTTGTATATGTAAATTTGTATATGTATATTTAACATACTTGTATATGTATACTTGAATATATATATCCAAGTATTAAGATTTCAGTCAGCGTGACAGGTGAACTCTCCTTTCACCTCATTGCATCTGTGCAGCAGCAGGCGTACCTTACTCTGTGTAATACTAAATTTAAAATCCTGATTCTCACTAATTAGTGACGCTTGGATGTAAAACATAGCAGAATCAGTAATAACTAGCGAATAAATGAAGTAAATATTTACAGTGAAAATCACCTGCAGGTGGTGATGAGTATCTCAATATCTTGGAGGGAATGAATCATAGTTTTGAGACTTCTGTCTTCTTCATCTAAGGATAGAGGTATCCCATATTACTAGCTTTCACACTACTAAAGTTAAATGAATATAATTCAGCCTCAGGATTTATTTCACTCATTCATCCCTTACAGCATAGCTACAGACTGTGGTGTGTAACTTGCATAGATCATCATAAAAACTTCTAGTCAGAAATTGCTCTGGAAAAATTTTTCTCAGTGAAAATGGAGAGGAAAGGAATCTGTTTAAACGTTTTGGTAAAAATGTGTTGAAAAGGGAATAAAATGTTAATGTCATTCTCTAGTATAGGTTTACAATCTCTTCTCTTCGTTTTTTGTTTCCTGTGTAAATTTATAAGCTGATTCTTTATCACAGTTCCTCAGTTTAGGGAAATATTTTCATACAGTGCCTGTATGAAAATATTCTGCTGACTGGTGTATCATTAAGAAATAGCCTCTTTTGTATATCTGTGCCTTATAATTGAGGCGTGGTGATTGCTCTTTATTTCTTATGCCCCTTTAAAAAGTCACAGTCCTGGTTCACAGGGTGCATGTCTAGTGTACTCTTATGCTTCTCTCATTCTTAATGCTCCTTTTTGAATGTTTATTTTTCTGGTTTTGGTTTCACTTGTGGTCATAATCTTAGTTTCTTCACTGATCAGTTTTTTGCATTTGTTTATTATGTCTGCACTGCTTATTGATATATATATAAATGTTTGTCAATGTCGTGATATGGTATTGATATGACAAATGATACTTTTTAAAAGATTTTAATGAAAAACAATTCTACCTTGTGTAGCTT